AGCAACCACTACAGGCATCACTATGACGTGACATCACTTCCAGGGAAAACCCAGAAATGACGTCACAAGGCTGCAGGAATCAACAGAAACTATGGTTTTACCATAGAGTTCCTGCCAGTTCCTAGAGTGATAGGACATCACTTCTGGGTTTTCCCTGGAAGTGACGTCATGTCATAGTGATGCCTGCAGGTTCTTCTGCTGCCACTAGGAGCAGTGGCAGGATTGCTGACGGAAGGCCTTCTGCCACGGTAGGAAGCCTGGCAACTCTACTTCTACCATAGAGTTTCTGCCAATTCCTAGAGTGACATGACATCGCTTCTGGTTTTCCCCAGAAGTGACATCATGGCACAGAAGACACCACCCATGTATTTGTCCCCCCACCCACCCAAGCCTGGCAACCCTGCCCAGAATGTTTAGTATCAGTGCAAATGAGATGTCTTTATACTGGCCAGTTTTTTCTCTTGCACAGCGAATTCTTACTGCTGCCCTGTATGGTTAGTATATTGCCTAATGACATCAAATCCACATGCCAGGCTGTGTTGTATTTGGTGCATTAAACAGCAGTATTTGAGGCAAGAACAAGGAAGGAAGCTTGTTGCTAAGTGTATGGCTTACCTGCTCACCCTTCAGACCAGCCTCTCCCGCTGCCCCACGGTCTCCTTTAGGACCCTAACAACAAAGAAAGGAATTCATTTAATTAAAAAATACAGGGATGATACAGGGGGGCAGGGATGATTATTAAATCAGTTTGTTGATCCTAATCCAAACTGGGATTGGGGAAAATTGCATATCACTTGCAAAGAACTCAACTATTTGGACCAGTTGGGAGTTCTTTGTAGGGGTTCGGCTTTGTAGGACTTGGACAGATAGAACCCTTTTCTCTTCAGACTTGTGCTTTCACCTCGGTACAATCATAAGCTCTTCATCCAACATAGCCGAGATTTTGACACTGTGCTTCTGTTCTTTCAAATCGGTTAAAAAAAAATACGTTGCAGCTGAAGACTGAATGTTAACTAACCTTGGGGCCTTCCCCACCTGGTGGTCCAGGATGGCCTCTCGGTCCAGACTCCCCCTGAAAGATAGAATAAACATGATCGTGTTAGATCTAGCTCACCGCCTAGTGATGCATAATGCTAAAACAGCTTCTGGTTGCCAGGCAATCTTAGGATCTCCTGGCTACCCTACACACACCGCCATTTGACGATTAATTGTTATTGTTAGAACAAGATAGGCGACTGTGTTAGTCTGTCTGTAGCAGTAGAAAAGAGCAAGAGTCCAGTAGCACCTTAAAGTAACAACATTTGTGGCAGGGGAGGAGCTTTCGTGAGTCACCACTCACTTCTTCAGATACCTGATCTCTGAAGAAGTGAGCAGTGGCTCACGAAAGCACCTACCCTGCCACTAATTTTGTTAGTCTTTGAGATGATAATGTGACTTTGTATGCCGAACAAGAAGAGAAGAGATTGGATTTATACCCCGCCCTTCACTCCCCAAAGGTGTCTCAGAGCAGCTTACAAACTCCTTTCCCTTCCCCTCCCCACAACAAACACCCTGTGAGATAGGTGGGGCTGAGAGAGCTCTTGACAGAAACTGCTCTTTCTCAAGAACAGCTCTTATCAGAACTACGGCCTGCCCAAGGCCATCCAGCCAGGTGCAAGTGGAGGAGTGGGGAATCAAACCCAGTTCTCCCAGATTAGAGTCCGCGCACTTAACCACTACACCAAACTGGCTCTCTTTATAAATGCATACTAAACTAGCTTTTGTGCCTAAATCCAGACTGCTTTACAGAAAATATCTCATGTCTCATGTTAGCACCTAACAGAGCATTATGGGAGATATATAGATATAGATATAGATATAGAGAGACAGAGAGACAGAGAGACAGAGACAGAGAGAGAGAGAGAGAGACAGAGACAGAGACAGACAGACAGGACAGAAGTACTGGCTACAGCAACGTTTAAAAGGCAGACTTATACTTTTCAGAGGAAACAGGTGTTGGCAAGAATGGATTTATGCCCTTTGCCACCAACTGATATAGTATTTGATATCCGAGGCTTGCGTTAGACCAAGTCAGACCATCAGTTCATCTCTGATTGTCATCAGCTCTCCATGGTCTCCCATCTTGCACATCACCTGTTATACGATCCATTTCCCTGGAGACGCCAGGGACTGGATCTGAGACCTTCTGCCTGCAGTGTAGGTGCCCTACCCCTGAGCCATTCCCCTACTGGTAGGTTAGTCTGAGAGACGGTGGCAGCCCACTCGAGGTTACTCAATGAGATTTCAGTTTCTGTGGAAATTCATATGCGGGTTTCCCCATCCTCATCTGACACCATAACCGCTTCGTCTGTCACCTGGGAGAGCAAAAGGGCAGTCTTTTCAGGAATGTCTTGTAGGACACTGAAGCTAGAGTTTCTATCAAACAGGCCCATAGCTATAGTGGGGCCTCTAGAGGCCTAGCCCCCTCAGTTACCGCCAAGGGCCCCCAACTTTCCATCCAACCCAGGCTATTTTATTTATGGCGCTCACTTTGGGGTGTGTGTGTGCCAGGGGTGTGTGCAGGGTGCCCCCCGAATTTTTAAAAGGCCCCTCCAAATTAAAAAAAAAATCCTGGCTACAGGCACAAGGGATCCTACTCTGTGTATAATCAAAGCTCGCTTTTTCTGAGGACAGCGGCAAAGAAGAAAGAATTTTAGCTTTGGCAGAAGCTCCGAAAACAATAACTTCCCTGCTGTCGTGAGCCAATGGAAATGTATTTTATGAAAAGATGATGCAAAGCTGTAACGTTACTGCGTAAAGAAGAACAGGAGGCTTTACTTCTACCTCCTGTTCTTCAGACTTCTTGCCCAGGCATGTGTTTCTTATCCGTTACTCGCTAAATATTTGTTCATCGAGTTGACGGATGGTTTCCTCTTAGCTCGAGCGTATAATTTGAATATGTAACCCGTCAGCGGATTCACATACTCTGAAACAAGATAAATAAACTGGTGCAGAAGGGTATAAAATTAATGCATTGAATTTCTTTCAGAATGAATTGTTTAGGTGGAAGCTGAACAACCTTTATCCGGATGACAAAGGATGATTGGGGGCCTGGAGACCAAGCCCTAGGAGGAAAGGCCCCCGGATCGGGGGCCTGGAGACCAAGCCCTAGGAGGGTCTTGGGAATGTTTAGTATGAAGAAGAGGAGGTTGTCGGGTTGCCAGGTCTGGGTTGGAAAATACCTGGAGACATTGGGGGTGGAGCCAGGAGACGGCAGGGTTTGGGGAGGGGAGGGGCCTCATCATGGTATAGTGCCATAGAGTCCACCCTTCAAAGCAGCCCTTTTCTCCAGGGGAGCTGATCTCTGTCAGCTGGAGATCAGTTGGAAAAGCGGGAGATCCCCAGGCCCCCACCTGGAGGCTGGCAATTCTAGGAGGTTGAGGGGGAAGACAGGATTGCTCTCTTGAAGGATTTGAAGGGCTGCACTTAGAGGAGGGCAGGGAGCTGTTCCAGTTGGCAGGGAGGAGAGGACTCGTAAGAATGGGTTTAAATTAAGGAGGGGAAGGTACCGGCTGGATCTTAGGAAACACTTTTGTAAGGTCAAAGTCGTGCAACAGTGGAATCAACTGCCCAGGGAGGTGGTGAGCTCCCCCTCCCTGACAGTCTTTAAGCAGCGGCTGGACAAACACTCGTCAAGGATGCTCTAGGGTGATCCTGTATTAAGGAGGGGGTTGGACTAGATGGCCTCTATGACCCCTTCCAACTCTGTGATTCAATGATTCTGTGATTCTAGGCCTAGTTCCCACCAAGAGCAGGTGAGGTGGAAAACCCCTTGGCTTGCATTACTGCAGCACATGACTCAGTACTCCTGCATCCCCCAGGATATATATATATATATATACTTGCCTGAAACCCAGGAAAGCAGCTGCCAGTCTGAGTAGACAATACTGGCCTTGATGGACCAAGGGTCTGATTCAGCATAAGGCAACTTCATGTGTTTGGGAGGTCATTTCTATTGACTCAAAGAAGGATGAGCCAAGCCGTTTAGGCCATGCCTATACACCACAAATAACACCCACCCAGGGAAGACCATCCACAATTCACAACCATATGTGCCCAAAACTGTATATTGCATTCACTGAAAAACAAAGAAGGGTTAGTGGTCATATAGAATCATAGAATTCATAGAATGTTAGAGTTGGAAGGGACCTTGCAGGTCATCCAGTCCAACCCCCTGCATTCTGCAGGAGCAGAGCCGAAAGAGAGCCCTACATACCTACAACATACCCAAAAGATGGTCGTCCAGCCTCCGCTTGAAAACGTCCAGCAAAGGAGCATCCACCACCTCCCGAGGCAGACTGTTCCACTGCTCAACCACTCTTACAGTCAATGTTCCCTCTAAGCTGTGGAGTCTTGTGAGCACAAATTCTACTGTGTGAGCTACTGGCATTAAAGTTGTGAGCGAGCGATTTGGCTACTGCATCAATTAGTTTGCTCTGGAGCCATCCCTTCCTGAGCGGAGACAAAAAATGTGTGAGCCAGAGGCTAAAAAACTGTGAGCTAGCTCACACTAACTCAGCTTAGAGGGAACACTGCTTACAGTTAGGGAGTTTCTCCTGATATTTAGCCGGTAATGACTCTCTTGTAATTTCCACCCATTAGACCTAGTCTTGCAATAGAATGTATAGGCACTTATCCCAATAGAATGTATAGGCACTTATCCAACAGATTGCTCATAACAATTCAGCGTATTTTACAAAAAAAAGAACATGTTGAAAACCAACAGTAGACTCATCTGTAATTCCATATGTAGGTAGTGGCAAACCTATACGCCAAGCATGTCTTTTGTAGAAATTGGAGGGGAGAGGGAAAGATTTGCCTTCTACATCAGTGCAAATAAATGAAGCTGTGTCTGGAATTCAGTCACCGATCTTTCAATCTGGATGAAGAAAGCAGGAAGGGAAGGGGTGGGTTTGATCTTACCATCTTTCCAACCGGTCCTTCTCCGCCAGGTGGGCCTGGGGTGCCTTTATCACCCTTGAATCCTGGCATTCCAGGGAGCCCAGGTGGTCCGGGGGGGCAGTCACTGCATACATCCTAAAGGAGGAAAGGGAAGAAAGAGAAGAAATTCAAGGATGTTGCTGGGAGTTTTGGCTGAATCAGACGGGGTTACCTACACATTTGGCAAAATGCAGGAGAGACATCCAGGTTCCGGTGCCGGCGTTTAGCTGCTCTCCCCCTTGCCCTCCTTCTTTTACCTTTTATTGTGTTTTTTAAAAACCCTTTCAGAGTTGCTCTTAAAAAGGTAAGGGAAAAGGTTCCCTTGCTCGAAAGCCAGTCGAATCCGACTCTAGGGTTGTGGTTCTCATCTCCGTTTCAAATCCGAAGAGCCGGCGCTGTCCAAAGACATTTCCGTGGCCATCTGGCTGGCATGACTAGACGCCGAGGCGCACGTAATGCTGTTACCTTCCCACTGAACTGGTACCTATTTATCTACTTGCAATTTCTTGCTTTCGAACGGCTAGGTTGGCAGGAGCTGGGGCCAGAGACGGGAGTTCACTCCGTCATACGGCACACTCGGGTCTCGAACTGCTGAACTACCGTCCTTCCATAGCCAACCTAAAGGTATTGTATTTGTATTTGTTTGACTTTGATGGACCAAGGGTCCGGTTCAGTATAAAGCAGTTTCATGTGTTCATGAGATTCTTGAGGACTTTTGGTAAAGGAGGGCTAGATTCGGATCCAGTAGCATCTTAAAGATGAGCAAGATTTCCAGGGTAGAAGCTTTCAAGAGTCAAAGCTCCCATCCTCTTCCCAACATTGCTGAATCTCCCCTTCCCCACATTGTAGTTTATCTCTTCCGCCAGCTCCAGCTCCCCCACCAAGGTTGCTGTTGCCCATTGCCAGTGTTTCCGTGGCAACCTGAAATGTCACCCAGTGTAGTTGACATGTGTGCTATCTATCCAGCCATTGCTATTAATTTTGGTAGAAACTTAGTCCCAAATTACTTTTTGAAAACAAAATCTAATCCCCCCCCCCCGGCAAACCTATAGGATCTCCCCAGATTTACAAAACTGTAATTGTCTGGAGCTGGCCTTGCTGCACAGATTTACTCATCCACTCAAGGATCATATACTGGTTAATTAAAGTAGAGAGAAGAGAAGGAGAGATTGGATTTATACCCCACCCTTCACTACCAAAAGGAGTCTCAGAGCGGCTTACAATCTCCTTTCCCTTCCCCTCAACAGACACCCTGTGAGGTAGGTGCGGCTGAGAGAGCTCTTTTGAAAACTGCTCACAAGAGAAGAGCTCTGAAATAACATGTAACAGACCCAAGGTCACACCAGCAGCTGCATGTGGAGGAGTGGGGAATGAAACCCAGTTCTTTCAGATTAGAGCCCGCACTCCTAACCCCAAACAAAACCAAAAAAGCAGAACCTTGCACCAGTCTAAAAACAAGCTACTCACAGGGATAAGTCGCTAACAAAAATAACTGCCATGGTTTTCATTTCTGAATTCCTAGTTATGGCTGTATATACAATTACTTATTTCTAATTTACACTGCACAGTTAAATTAGTGTTAATACTGGGTTAAAAGACCTTGAGATACTTGTAGGGCTCGGGGAATTATTTGCTGCAGTTCCTAAAAGTGAAAGCATTCCATCTTGACTCATCCACAGCAACCCAGTTAGTCTTATGGCAAGCAGGGATCCCTGGCTACCAAATCCTGGGAGGGGGGAAACAACAGGGGAGGGGAGGGATGTTGTCTCCATGACTTATTTGTTGACTTCCTGGAAACAGGATGTTGGACTACCTAGATCTATAGCCTGATCTAGCAGGGCTCTTCTTAATAGCCAAAGGAAGGCAAACAGATGGGATTCTGGGGAACACGTTTGCTAGCTAGTAAAACCTGGACTGGGCTTCTGTTTCCCTGCAGAGGAGAGTGACGAAGATGATCAGGTGCCTGGAGACCAAGTCCTGTGGGGAAAGGCTGAGGGATTTGGGAATGTCCAGACTGGAGAAGAGGAGGCTGAGGGGGGACAGGATGGCTCCCTTGAAGTCTTTAAAGGGCTGTCACTTAGAGGAGGGCAGGGAGCGGTTCCTCTTGGCAGCAGAGGAGAGGACTCACAGTCATGGGTTTAAATTAAGGGCAGGAAGGTACCGGCTGGATATTAGGAAAAACCTTTTGACAGTAGGAGTTGTTCAACAGTGGAATCAGCTGCCTGGGGAGGTGGTGAGCTCCCCCTCCCTGGCAGTCTTCGAGCAGCGGCTGGACAAACCCTCATCAGGGATGCTCTAGGCTGATCCTGCATTGAGCCTTAGAGGGGGTTGGACGAGATGGCCTGTAGGGCCCCTTCCGACTCTGTGATTCTGTGGCTCTATGATTCTTGGTTGCAGACATGGTCAGAAGGATGAGCTGAAGGGCTCTAGTCCCTTGTTTTTTTAGCCCATGTCTCACACCCTGGGGCTTTGCATGAGCCCGCCCGGTGGTCTGTAGCAATGTATTTTTTTGTTTTTTTAAAATTATTTTTGTCATCCCATTTATTTCAGTTTATTGTCATTCGGTTTCATGCACATTGCAAGTGGTACAAGTATCTATATGGCTTAGTGGGATCGTCACTGTCGATTGCATTTCAGGCACCTCAAAGGATCCTTACCTTAACTAAGAGGCTGATGTCACCAGGAGAAAGCAATGGAGAAGCACCCTGGGGGGAAAGAGACAAAAACAAAACACCTCTGTTTTATACTGTTTTGAAGACCATTTTCTGGGACTGCACACTCAAAGGCAAAACATTCTCCCAGCTCATTAAAGAGATTCACCACACACGAAGAAGAAGAAGAAGAAGAAGAAGAAGAAGAAGAAGAAGAAGAAGAAGAAGAAGAAGAAGAAGAAGAGGAGGAGGAGGAGGAGGAGGAGATTGGATTTATACCCCGGCCTTCACTACCCAAAGGAGTCTCAGAGCGGCTTACAAACTCCTTTCCCTTCCCCTCCCCACAACAGACACCCTGTGAGGTAGGTGGGGCTGAGAGAGCTCTTCCACGAAACTGCTCTTTTTAACTGCTCCTTTTCAAGAACAGCTGTGCCAAAACTACGGCTTGCCCAAGGTCATCCAGCCAGGTGCAAGTGGAGGTGAGGGGAATCAAACCTGGTTCTCCCAGATTAGAGTCCGCACACTTAACCGCTATACCACTACCACCAGGCAGAGGTGAGTGGAATAAATGTGTTTCATGTGGTTTGCGATCTCTACAGTAGGGAAACAGCTCCCATTCCACTGATGTAGCATGAGAAGAGGCAATCCAGACGTTGGTGTCCAAGCGTCATTTGGCCTCACAGATTAATTTACTGATAATTTAGGACATTGGCCTGCAGGGAAGAAGAACATCTTGCACCCAAACATAGGTTTCTCTTGGACATCAAACGAAAAAGAAGAAGAGGAGATTGGATTTATACCCCACCCTTCACTCGGAGTCTCAGAGCGGCTTACAAACTCTTTTCCCTTCCCCTCCCCACAACAGACACCCTGTGAGGTAGGTGGGGCTGAGGGAGCTCTGAGAGAACTGCCCTTTCCAGAACAGCTCTGAGATAACCTTTGACTGACCCAAGGTCACACCAGCAGTTGCATCTGGAGAAGTGGGGAATCAAACCTGGTTCTCCCAGATTAGAGTCCGCACACTTAACTAGTACACCAAAAGGTGCTGAGAGGAAAGGGGGGGTGGGAGAGAGAGAGAGAGAGAGAGAGAGAGAGATGGCATACCGGTTTTCCAGGAGGCCCTCTTTCACCTGGATTTCCTGGCAAACCCTACAATCATAAAACAATACAAGAGATCAGCAATTTTTCCTCCACTTTCTTCCCCCTACTGAGTGGAGCAGTTCACATCCTGAGCAGGATGTAACTGCTGTCATCTTAAAATGGGCAACGTGCCAGACCCTGCGTGGCTCCAGATAGCTTCTGAGCGGGGCTTCCTGTGTCAATGAGCGGCCGCTCACATGAACAGCTTAGAGGGAACACTGTCTGGGAGGTTATTATATTCCTATCAATCCATTTGACACAGAGGTATGAGCATTAGAGATGCTTCAAGGTCTATCACCCTTATTGTTCTAGTCTCTGTTTCTGTTTGTTTATTTAAATTGTATTTATTTATTAGTTGTAGATTTTCCAGGCTGTACTCTCTGCGTCCATCTTTCTGTGTTATACCTATGAGGATGCCAGTCACAGCTGCTGGCGAATATCCAGTACTACAATGCCAAGACCACGGCCCTACAGCCCAGAATGTCTACAAGAACTAATGAACTCCGGCCGTGAAAGCCCTGGACAACGTAATGTACTTATTTAAATTGCCCTTTTGATCTTTTTGTAACCTGGTTTGGGACTCTCCACCCAGGGAGAAAAACAGGGTAAAAAATACCGGAATAGCTAATTAAGTAAATAAGAAAGGAGTGGACTCTTCCTGCCGATGTGGGTGGCCTAGCTCTCAATGGGTACTCAGATGTGGCAAAGATGTCCCACCATTCCTGAAGAAGCCTTCCACTTAGTTTTTGAATGGTCCAATTCAAAGGGCTGGTTTCTGACTTTCACAGCCATCCACGGTCTCGCTGGGCTACCTTAAGGATGTGAAGTGGACTTGCATGGATTTTCTGGCTTAATGCAAAAAAAGAAGAAGAATAAGTATTTAAAAGGCTCAAAGCCTTGCCTGGCGACTCACCTCCTCTGCTGTCTACCCCCCTGCCGTTCTCTGTTTTTCAGCGGCTGGTTTGCTAGACCAGCCAGTATTTACAGTCGGG